ATAATATTGAAAAAAAGAAAAAAGGAGATTTACGTAACATTAATTAAAATACGTATATATACTCAATGCAAGCATAGCGGATATTTAACATCTTCATTATTAGAAATAACAGATATTAAATGTCCGCTGAACTTGTAATAACGATATGAAACAATTATATGTAATGATCAACATCACGTGATCTTCGAAATTTTTTTGGGTGGTGATTCTACCCTCGTAGAAAATAAGCACCCTTGGCCCACACTATGCAAATTTTGGCCCGCATTATGTCAATTTTGGCCAGCACTAAATGCAAAAAAAGGGGTGCATAATTTCAGAATGGTACGGTACTTTATTTTTGCTAAAGTCGGACAAAAGGACATTGCAATTTGATTAATCATTTATGAGACCGTTTTATAAAAACCTTGATATGATTAAATTGAGTGATTATTAGATTGCTTAATAATATTAGATTTTTCAATTATATATTTCATTTTTAATGATCACGATATTCTTACCAAAAATTTTACCCATGTAATAAAGAAAATCTAATATAAAATTATGGAGAAAAATGGATTGAGTCCTATAAATTAAACTGGTATATCATATTCACTACTCTTAACTTCTCATAATCTAAAATGAATTATTACTTGGCTGTATTTGTTGCGTTTATTAGCTACATATTGTACAAGAGTTGTATTTATCCTTTATATTTGTCCCCATTAAGTAAAATTCCTGGTCCACCTGTTGATAATTTCATTCTTGGACATTTGACCTCTTTATTAAACAAAGAGCTTGGTGAAGCTTTGACTCATTTGGCAAAACAATACGGTGGACTAGCTAGATTTCATATCATATTTAGCAAGCCCTTTTTATTGATTTCCGATCCAAAACTTGTCCAACAAGTATTGCTTAATCGCCCTTATGATTTTTCAAAGTTTTTCCCCAATAAAACCAAGGAATTGTTTGGCGAAGGTATTTTTATTGCTGAAGGAGATTCTCATAAACGGCAAAGAAGAATTATGAATCCTTCATTCACTTTTGCCAATATCAAGGTATTTATGGATGATTTCAATGTTACAATTTGTTAAAAAATTAATTCTTTAGTTATTTCTTTTAAGGAAATGGTTCCAACGTTTGTTCAAGTTGGTCATAAATTAAAAGATATCTGGATGAAACAAATTGGTAATAAGAAAGAAGAAAGAATTACCATTTCCGATTTAGTTGGCAAGATAACTTTAGATGTCATTGGCCTTGTTGGTATGCATTAGCCTATATTCATTCTATACCTTAAATTTTTAATAATAACGTTTCTAATCGTAATTATAATAGAACAGGGTGAAACCTGAGTTGCGAAATAGTGAAATCCGCTTTGTAGATCGGGTTAGGGTGA